TGAACATATCTAAGAGCTTATTGTGCCTGAAGGTCCTAGTATGCTGGAATGCAGGAAGACAGTCTTCCCCAACTCCCTCCCCCTACTCCAACCAGAGTTAATTCTTCCTAGATCCTAGGAAGGTGGGCCACACTTAGAAGACTTTGGGGCTTTGTCTTGGTGGGGCCCCAAATCATCTTGTATTCAGAGGTGCCTGAGGGATGATTAATGCCTTTGGTTTCTGAACTCCAGTGCAAGGAGGCTCGTGTAGGGTTCAATTAGGAGTCAATCCAGTCTTCCAATTCAGCTCTTCAGTCACTTTGAACATCCTTCATTCAATAAGCATTTATTAACACTTAATATTAACATTTAATCATGCTAGGCATGATTTTAAAATTCTAGGTCCCTCTCAATAAATTCCTATCAAGGGCTTATTATTGGCAGACCACTAGAGATACAAAGATAGAACAGAACAATGCTTGTCCCCAAAGAACTTAGATGGGGGATAGGGGGATCTAATATGTAATGCAGATAAGAAGGTGCAGAGTCATTTGGGGAGGGAGAAGGCGTCACCATTTAGAAAGATTAGTGAAGGAATGAAGGAAGCTAAGCATCCAAAGAAGTGGAGGTTGAAAAAGAGTGGTGGTGGAGTCTTCTTGGCATTCTTCCTTTCCTCCTTCCTGAGATGCTGAGGGACAGTCTGGGGAGAGTTGCTTGGAACAAGGAAGACCTGGTGCTAGCCCAGATGATCTAAGGCCATTCTGGACTAGACTGGACCTCCAGTTCAAGTATATATTCCTGACCTTTGGAAGTGATAATAAAATATTGATTTGTTAACCATACCTGCCAAAGCTTCAGAGCAATCCTAATACCATGTGCTTCTAATGGGATTGTAAAGAAGAGCTATGCTTTGTAAGACTGTGTGACCTGATTTGGGAGTTGGAAACATGGGTAAATGTATGTTTTACTGTTTTCTGCTCCCAAGATTCTGATGTGGTAACACCTTTATTTCTGAGTCTACAAATAACAACTCTCAAAGCTATGAATAGAAATTATTTCACTCAGGACAGGAGGAGTTGGGAGAAGGGGAAGGTGACAGTTCAGAGACAGAAACTTTGATCATTGGTAGAGTTGTGCTAAGGAGAACAGGGCAGGGCAGCTAGGTGGCACAGTGGATGGAGCACTGGCCCTGGATTCAGGAGGACCTGAACACTTACTAACTGTGTGACCCTGGGCAAGTCACTTAATCCCACTGCCTAGCTTTAAAAAAAAAAAAAGGAGAACAGGGCAAACTAAGCCCGCTTGAAAGCTTGGCTTTTCCTCTATCCCTACCAAAATTGGAGAGAAAGTGCCCCCATGGCAGGAGGAACAGGGCAAGATGCAGGGACAGTGACTGAGTGGGGTAGAGGAGTGACATGTTTGGATGTCAACACCCTGGGGCATGGCTCTATTTACCTGCCCTAGTTCCAACTTTGCCAGATAACTTCAGAATGTTCCAGAAAGCTTGTGTTCCAAAGAAAAAGCAAGGGGAGGAAGAATATATTGGTTCTCCGTAAAGTCTCAGGAGCAGGACTTTTCCCAAGAGTATGGTGATCAGCCACTTTGATAATAAAAGTACTTTAAATTTCCACCTGGACAGTTAGCCAAAGGTACTTTAAACAAGTCATGACCCCTGCCTTCCCCAAAAAAGTGGAGTCATTTTCTATGCTAATAATGCAGCCATTTATTCCTATATAAAATTTAGCCAAGGCCACCATCTTTCTGCTTTCTGCTTTTTCTTTGTTTCATGTTGCTGTGTGTTTGTGTGTGCAATGTACTCACATGTGCTAAGGACTATGAACAGCTGGTGTTGTACCCTCTAGCAACATCTGTTTCAGTAATGAGAAAAATAATAATAATAGCTGAAATTTACATTGCACTTTCATCTATATTATCTCATTTGATCCTCACAGCCCCCTAAGGTAAATCATTCCCCTTTTACAGAACCTAAAGTATCTTAATTCATTCACCACAAGGTTAATTTAATAGGGTAAGAGTCTGTCTCTCAGTCGGCATTCCGAAGTGTTCACTTGCAAGTCAGTTGTTCGGAATGCTTTTCTCCATAGAAACAGTATCGTCATGTTACAAGGGCTTGGGTTCCTACGCTAGTCAACAGAAGACTGTAACTCCCATACTGTAAAATCTAATGACTCCTCAGTGTTGTTTCTGGGAGGAAACCCATTCTGAGATACCATTCAGGAATTCTTCTGGTAGTAGAGTATGAGTCATTATTTCTCCCATCAAAGGGGGACAAGGCTTACCACTTCAGGGACAGCATAGGACTAAATTAGCATGTGAAAGGAAAGCTGTAAAAAAAAAAATGACTAGCTGAGCTAAGGATGATATTCTGTGTTTTCAGTCTCCTAGACTATAACATATAAACACTGGGATCCCTCCTCTGGGCACCTCCTCTAAGGTGTATGATGTAGAGGTGACCCTGGACCCTCAAAGACTATGCCAGAAGGGCAAGATCTCTGGCACACCCCCCCAAGCAGGGAAGTCCAAGGGCCAGCTGAGTTGAGGCCACAAAGGCTCAGCATCATCAGAGGCTAAGCACTAGGTGATGAATTTTTTCAGCCACGGTGACTACAGAAACCTGGCTGCTCACTACTCAAGCACACATACTCCTGTTTTCTTCTGCCTCTGAATCTCTGCTCCCACCTTTCCATCCACCTCCCTTTTCTTTTGGCCTGTCTTAATCTCATCCATCATTCAGAACCAGTCCAAATCTTTCCTTCTATAAAATGGCCCTATGACCATCCCCACCTGCCATCTCGCTCTTCTTATTTATTGTAATTAATGCCTCATGTTTGGTTTTGTTTGTAAGTATGATTTTTGTTTGTTGTAAATTAGTGTAATTAAAGGATGACTCTGAACAAGCCGCTTAACCTCAATCTCCTTGGGTGGTATAGTGGACACAGCACTGAACTTAAAGTCAGGAAGACCTGAATTCAAATTGCACCTCAGATGCTTACCAGCTCTGTGACCACAGGCCAGTCGTTTAATGTCTCTGAGCTTCAGTTTCCTCATGTGTAAAATGGAGACTGTATCTACCTCCCAGGGTTGTCGTGAGGAGCAGATGAGACAGCATGAAGAGCCTGGCACACCTTAGTGCCCAATAGACGTGCTAGCTATTGTTAATATCTGTAAAATGAAGGGGCTGGGCTACATGGCTTCTGAGATCCCTTCTACTTCTAGCTCTAAGGCCCCATAATCCTAAATTTATCATTAAAAATGATTTTAAAAATCTCAACAAACATCAACAATGTAAGTAAAAATGAAAAAATTCAAAACAAAACCTCACATTCTAGACTATTTATAATTTAATTTTTTTAAACTTTTTAAAAAAATTTTTCTGTGTCCCCTTCTACTCCGTTTTGAGGGGGTTAATACCATAGTTATTATTAATAACAGTGCCTACTAGCACAACAATCTCTGCTTGAATCTCTGCTTAGACTCCTAAGTCTATTCAACCAATCTTTTTCTGCCTTAGCCTACTTAACCAGTTTTTCTCTTTCTGATCATCAATCTTAACTTCAGTGTGTGCTATATTCTATTTATTTATTCTTTTGGGCAGTTGGGGTTAAGTGACTTGCCCAGGGTCACATAGCTAGTAAGTGTCAAGTGTTTGGTCTGAGGCCAGTACGTGCTATATTCTAAAAGCCAGTGGACAGGGTCCTGGATTTGGAGTCAGGAAGACCTTAATTCTAGTTAAGTCAGAATCTTAACTGTATGACCTTGGGCCAGTCACTTAACCTCTTCTTTTGACTCTTTCCTCCTCTATAAAAAGGGGATAATAATAGCACCTATGGGTAACTAGGTGGCACAGTGGATAGAACACTATGCTTAGAATCAGGAAGAGTCATCTTGATGAGTTCAAATCCAGCTTCAGACACTTACTAGCTGTGTGACCCTGGGCAAGTCACTTAACCCTGTTTGCCTCAGTTCTTCATTTGTAAGATGAGTTAGAGAAGGAAATAGCAAACTACTCAAGTATCTTTGCTGAGAAAATTCCAAAATGCAGTCACAAAGTGTTTTGCAAACCTTAAAGTACTCTATAAATGCCAGCTATGATTAAAAAGTAAGCCATGATGGAAGAAAAGAGTGCAAAGCTCCTTCTATAAAGGACATATCTATAAAGTATGGTGATGATGTGATTTAATCTTTCCGCATTCCAAGGCTCTACTGTCGTCAGTTATCTGGATATTTCAGTTAAAATTATTTGACACATCTGAATTGTGCTTGCATAAACACAACCTGAATCAAGTATAGAGCTGAGCAAAAAACCCATTAAAATGCTACTTTTCCTGCAGTTAGTCAAATGTAACAACTAGACCCTTAAAGTCTCTGGGAACTCTGACTCCAGAGCTCCTGACTGCTTTTTCCAGCTTCAGTGTCGCCGTTTGGGGTCATCAGTTATGCAAATTATGACCCAAGCCCATCTGTTATGAAACTCTGTTACCCAGACCAGCAAAAACAATGAAGATATAAAAGCCGTGTGAAAAGTAATGGAGGGAATTGAGTCATAGAAGCCTTCTCTTTCCCCACACACAAATCGGCACCTGAAGCTAAACCAGAATGCACCCATTAAAGGCAGAGACAACCATTGGCCATAGTACACAATTAACTCAGCAAAAGAATGTTTTTTTAAATTTAAAAAAAAAAACCCTTACTTAACTGGGTAATTGTAGAAGAACATGCATTTGACTATAAAAAGCACCTATATATCAAGAGTGTGAGAATTTTAAAAAATCGGATTTTTAAAAGGAAAGCATTTTTCCTATTTTCCTGTTCTCCCCTTCTTCCCCGCCCTAGCCTAGGCAAACAGGTTTTTCTAAACTTTCTTGCTCTTTGTTGTTGCTATTTCTGATGCCAAAGCCCTGACAGCATTTGCTTTCGACAACAGCACCACTTAAGAACTTTTTCCAAACAATCATAATTTCATGGAGGAGAGGTGGGGGCAGGGGGAGTTCTCAGTTTACCTGTGCACGTTACCACCATTCCATGCCTTCCTTCATAGATAGTTTCATGATTTTCTGTGGCCAAAATCAAAAGTTCATTCCCTAGACACTAACTTGGCAGATCTAGTCTTTGGGCAAAAGGTCTATCACAGTCTGTCTTGGGGTTAGTAATTGAACCTTTCCAATTTTGAGGGACCTGCCAGAGTTTAAATACTGAAGACTAACTTTCAAAATAACTGACCTTGGCTCACCTCCGTACCACACCAAAAACAAGTAATTCGGGAATTTAGTGGAAGTGTTCTTTGTCATCATAGCAGAACTTTTTTTTTTCATTATGGTCATTAGATCTTAGTGTGTTAGAACTAGAAGGAACTTTAGTACAGTAACTTCAGTTTATTTTTATTTTATTAATTTTTAACCCTTCCCACTGAATTTTCCCTTGTGACAAAGGAAAACTCAACGGAATCTTTTTACTGTTGTTCAGTAATGCCCCAACTCTTTATGACCCCAAGGACTATATCGTCCTTGGGGTTTTCTTGGCAAAGATACTAGAGCAGTTTGCCATTTCCTTCTCTAATGTGTCCTCATTTTACAGATGAGGAACTGAGGCAAATAGGGGTTAAGTGACTTGCCCAGGGTCACACAACTAGTAAGTGTGTGAGGCCCGATTTGAATTCAGGTCTTCCTGACTCCAAACCCAGCACTCTGTCCATTAAACCACCTAGCTACTTCCATCAATAGAATCAAATGTATCTGACGGTGTCCAAAACACTCTGCATCCATGGTCTACCAACCTGTCTCTCAGGAAGAAGGAAGTATGTTTCACCACCATCTTTTCCCTGCAACAGAAATTAATCATTACCATTAATCACAGTCTGACTGCCTTTTAGTGAAATGGTATTTTAATTTACATTATTTTAGTCAAGATGTAAATTATCCCCTGACTGTTCTTATTTTACACTGTATCTGTTCAATCATTAAGCATTTATTATGTGCCAGGCACTATGCTAATCATTGGAGATAAAGAGCCAAAAGTGAAACAGCCCATGCCCTCAAGGAGCTTACATTCTAACTGGGAGAGAGAGACTGTATTTGTGTGCGTGCTTGCATATGTGTATATACATACATTACATGGTTATCATGTATACAAAACAGTTTGGGGAAGTGCATGGGGGGGCAGGGGACTCTCAGAAAGGCTTCATGTAAAAGGCAGCTATATGGGTGTGAATGTGTGTATTTACATATATATATGAATGTGTGTGTGTACACACATGTGGTTATCATATATGCAAAATGAATACAAGGTGGTTGGGGGAGGGAATTCACTAACTCAGGGGAAGGTGCTTCATGTGGAAGATGGTGCTTGACCTGAGTCTTCCCATGCTTCTGGGAGTTCTTATTCATCATTGCCTTTGGTGTACTATTCTATAGCATCTACATGCCACAATTTGTTTTGTGTTTTTCAGTCAGTTGCTAGCTACTCTGTTGTTAGCTTTTTGTTACCACAAAAAAAGTATTGTTGGTATGAATATTTGCATATTTGTTGTTGTTCACTTATTTTCACTCATGTCTGACTCTTGGTGACCCCATTTGGGGCTTCCTTGGCAGAAACTGGAATAGTTTGCCATTCCCTTCTCCAGCTCATTTTACAGATGAGGAAACTGAGGCAAGCAGGGTTAAATGACTTGTCCAGAGTCCTACAGCTAGTAAGTGTCTGAGGCTAGATTTGAATTCAGGAAGTCTTCCTGACCCCATGCCTAGTATTCTAATCCACTGTGCCACCTAGCTCCCTATCATATTTTCTTTTTGTCTTTAACCTCCTTGCAAAGCCCTCTCTTAACAGATGAGAAAACTGAGGCCCAAACTGGTGAAATGATTCCTAAAGGCACACGCTTAGTGGTGTGGCCACAGCTAGAATCAACAGTGTGGGAAGCTGGTGGGAAGAACGGATGGCTAATGGTTAGTGGCCCAGGTTCTGATTCTGAACAGGGCTGTCCTTGGGCAAAACTGTGTCCTGAGCATCTGTACACATGGGCTTTCATTTGACTTCTTCTGAAGCTATGCCTGTGGGGCTCAGGGTGGTACAGGAAGAAAGTCAATGTAGAGCAGTGGAAAGAAGTCTGGATTTAGAGCCAAAGAACCTGGGTTCCAATCCCAGCTCTGTCCTTTACTATCTGTGTGATGTTGGGCAAACTCTTTGGACCTCATTTTTCTTGTGTATAAAAAAAAAAGAGGTGGGGATTAGGTTAGAGGACTCTAGATTCCCAGCTGGGCCAGCTCTGTGGCATAAGGGATAAAGTGCTGGGCCTGGAATCGGGAAGACTCATCTTCCTTAGTTTAAGTCTAGCTTCAGAAACTTACTAGCTGTATGACCCTGGGTTTGCCTCAGTTTCCTCATCTGTCAAATGAGCTGGAGAAGGAAATGGCAAATTACTCCAGTATCTTTGCCAAGAAAACCCCAAATGGGGTCACAGAGAGTCAGATATGACTGAAAAGACGACTGAACATAAAAGATTCCAGCTTTAACTATAATGATTGAGAGTACATTACAGTGACTCAGGAGGAGACCCAGTAGAATAGGGAGTTGCTTCAAGAATTGTGACCTATCAGCTTCATAGGATCTTAAGTAGTTTGGAGGAACATTAGAACTTTAAAATATTGTTCAGCCTGTACTTCATTAAGCCATTACTCATTGAACAAGTTAATGAATGCCCAACGTGCCTCCTCGATAATCTGGGCCAGTAATGCCCCTGGTTGCCTGTTTCCAGACATGTGAGGATAATAAAATGATCATAGATGTCTAAATGCCTGGAGATTGTCAGAATCAAAGTGCCCTATTAAGTCAAAATTTTGGTGACGTGATTATTAATCACTTACCAGAGAAGCAATACAGCACAGCAGAAAAGCTAGGATCCAGGAGAATTCGATTCTAAGCATCTGTAAGTATTTATATGGCACTTATTATGTACTAAGCACTTTACAAGTATTAGCTCACTTGATCCTTACATCAGTCCTGTGAGGTAGGTGCTGTCATTACCTTGATTTTATAGCCAGATTTGAACTCAGACCTTCCTGACTTCAGCCCTATCAAGTTGCCTGGCCCTTCCCTTCCCGTCACTTCCTCTCTCTGGGTATAATTTCTTTAATGGAAAAACAGGGGACTAGATTAGAGGATAGCCCCTTGTACTAGAGATTCTATCATGTTTCAGAAAGGTAGCTTTGACTCTGCTTAATGGTTCAGTTTGTTGAGATTTCATGTTTTATTTGCCATTGTTCTATAGGATGCCCATGGTCCAACAGGTAAACACTTCCAATACAAAATATTTAAATGCTTCCTTATGTCAAAAGATATACTTTGGTGTTTTCTGCTTGTCTGAGAAAACTTGTTCTCTCTTCCCATCATGGGAGAGATTCTGGGAGTAGCTAAAGAAAGGTGGCATCAGGAGAAGACCTGGGCTATTGAATCACAAACAACTTGGAGTTGGAAGGGGCCTCAGAGGCCATGCAGTCCAACCAGTGCCCAAATAATAAGAATGCTGTTATTGTTCAGGCATGTCCAACTCTTCATGACCTCGTGGACCAGAGCATGCCAGTGTTGTCCATGGAGTTTTCTTGGCAAAGATACTGGAGTGGTATGCCGTTTCCTTCTCCACTTGTCAACTGCTATAGTGGAAATTCCTTTCACGTACGGATTGGACTTAATGATGACTGAGGTCCTTTTCATCTCTGAGATTCTGTGCTTCTTTGGCTCTAAGTCCAGCCTTTTCTCCATTGCCCAGTGCCATTTAGGTGTAGAATGAAAGGAATGAGCCTTCTGAATCAACCTTATCTTCTCTGCCTCCCTGTTTTTAACAAATATTTGGCTAGGGTTATCCTGAGATCTGGGATAAAGTTGACTTCATATGGGTAAACCAGTGACTTATCTCTCCGTGGTAAGCTAGATATTTGTCCTATCTCTCAGTTCACATTACATATATGAGTGGGGTGGTGTCCTTCCCTTCACCCCTAAAACAAGCTTTTGGTCCCAGCAGTTCACACTGAGTTAATTCCCACACATTAGGAGGCTATAGTCCAGAAAAGAAATAATGAGGGCGTGAACTATGTGGTGACTGTGTATGGACCATTTTTAAATGGTGCCCAACCAAATGGCATTTTTGTTCTAATGGGAGGTCACGCACACATATAAAAGATTACATATCATATAAACAAAACGAACATAAGATACTTCGGGAAGAAAAGGCATTAGCAAGTAGAAAGACCAGGAAAGACTTCATGTAGAAGAGAGCACTTCAATTGAGTCTTGGCCATGTTGTTCAAATGCCAAATGTACGTTTGCCTAAAAGACTATTTTATGGAGAACTCATACAAGGCAAGTGCTCACACAGAGGTCAGAAGAAATGATACAAGGACACTTTCAAGGTCTCTCTAAAGAACTTTTGAATCACTTATGAGGCATGGGGGACACTGGCAAAGGACCCCCAGCTTGCCGTGCCTGCATCAAAGAAGGTGCTTGTTCTGTGAGCAAAGCAGAATTGCCGAGCTCAAAAGAAACATGAGATGTGCGAATTTAGACACATCTCCACTCCAAATGTTCGCGTGGACTGTTTGTGGCTGACCTGCGGCAGAGCCTTCTGAGCTTGTATTGATCTGATCAGCCGCAGTCAGACACGTTGTACCTTGACCCTGACGTGGTGATGTCATCTTGGTCCCTTCGAGCACAAAGACCAGCGACCAGCTGATGGAAACCAGGGATTCCAAGAAGCAGAGATGAGAAGGGAGATCATTACAGACGTGGAGCTAGTGCAAAGGACCAAACACCAGAGTTAGAGTGGTGTATGTGCAGGATCACAAGTAAGCAGGCAGCTGATGTGACTGGATCACATTAGGGAAGAAAGGAAACAAGACTGGTAACTAAACAAGGGGATAGGTCATGAGAACATTGGTCCTGGAGGCAATAGGGAGCCACTGGAGTTTTTTGAACAGGGGAGTGATATGATCAGACCTAGACTTTAAGAAAATCACTTTGAAGAATGCATTGGATTTTGGAGATACTTGAAATAGGGAGGCCAAGCAAG